GCCCGACACGGGGCTCGAACCCACGAGCCGTGAGATATGACCTAAGTGAAAGTCGGACGCTTAACCGGCTAAGCCACCCAGGCGCCCCTAAAACATCCCCTTTTCAATGAGCCCCTCCCAAACTGCTGTTTGTAACCAAGAGGAGTCTGAGTGTTAGGATCTCTTGTGGGAGTCAGCACCTGGCTTAGGGGCACACAGTAGAGCAAGGCCAGAATGCAAACATCTATCTCCTACCCCATTCTCCTAGAGAAAGGTGGGGAATTTGGGGGAATTCTCAACTCTTTAATTAATAATTATTGCTGCTTCTTTTTTCCACAACTGGTACTCCTTTCTATTTGGTTTTCTCTAATCTGCTTGAGTACCTATGTGGTGAGGGTGTCTGTTTCACCATATAGATGAAGACGTTTCCAGGAGCTGTGACCACACAGCTGGTAAGGGGCACATTCAGGACTTCAGCCTGGCCATTCTGACTCCAAAGTTCAAACTTTACATTACACTGACAGCCTGAATAGTGTCTCTTAGGGCAAAGCATTTTACAAACTATAAAGTGCTGTATAAATGTAGGACATATGGTTGACAGGGGTTTTCCTGTCATTTGAAAGGCTCCATGATGGACACTAACTTTTGCCTGTGAAGGTCTTCTATGTCATGTGTAGACCTGGGGTCTCTGAGGGAAGTCCGGTGGCCAGAAGACACACAATTTTAGTCAAGGCTCAGATTTTTTCCAATGAGGGCAGTGGCTCCGAAACTTTGCTGCATGATGGAATCACCTGGGAACGCTTACAACCGCAATGTGTGTGTGGCCTCCAGACCTAGAGAAGCAGAATGTCTAGAGGGAGTGGGTACGTGCAGGCAGCGGGAGCTGTTAAAGAACCTGGTGATTCCAGTGTGTCGTCAGGTTTGGGAACCAGCAACCTGAGGCCTTTTCTTATCATGTCAGTAAAGATCTGGGCGGTGTGGCATGAATCCCTGGTTGGGCTGCGATGTCCGACAAGATCCCTAATTGATCCCAAAGCAGACTAGAAGCCCTCAGCTGCCCATTGAAGACACCTGGGGACTTTAAGGGAGCATGAGAGATGGGCAGGGAGACTGTAAAGCCTGCCTCCCCAGAGCTCCCGTATGAGCTTCCAGCTTCAGCCTAAGACCTTGGTTCTTAACTGGGGCCATCTCGCGCCATCCAGGGAACATTTGACAATGTCTAAAGACACTTTGGGTTGTCACAAGTTGGAGAAGGCAGTACAGAGACCAGAGAGAGGCGCTAAACATCCTGCATGCACAGGACAGCCCTGCCCACATGGTAGAGACTTATCTGGTCCCAAATGTCAACAGTGCTGAGATTGAGAAACGCTGGTCTCATGAAACCCCAGTTCTTGGCTCGGATTATGACTTGAGCTGAGAAATTGGAAGATGTGCTGTTAATCAGACTCGGGCATCCCTGAGCTGCCAGGGGGGATACTGATAAACATGGAGAGAGGGGCCAGAATGCTTCTAAGTCTTGTTGAAAAGACTGCTTTTATTTGCTTGGAAATTGCTTCTCATCTTTTCTACTTTTCAAATTTGTAATGACTTTAAACCTGCAGCAGAACAGTCCCTAAGCCTCCATTTCCTCCTCGGGGGCACGTGAACAGCCTCAGTTAGGTCCTGCCTCCCCTGAGTGACCTCGAGAGTCAATGTAGGCAAAGCATCGAGAACTAGACCAGGTGCATGACATCTGGAGGTGCTCAGTACATGTTAGCGGGTGTCATGCTTATTCATGGCATGGAAGTGGAAGTGAATTTGCTCACTATAAAACTGTAGCCCTATGGAAATTCTGTAATTAAAAGGTGCTGCAGAATCTGATATCTTCCTTTTATGTTCACTGAAAATCTTTAGGTCAAAATGGTCTGTAAAACTAAGCCTCTTCTTTGAAATGCACAGTAATTACCAGTAACTAGCATCCTATGAGTGTTGAGGTTTGTCCTTGGAAGCAATTTAAGACATTAGCTAGCACTGACTAGAATTTGGCATCTATGGAAGCCTTCATTGTCTGCTTTATGGAAAGGGATTCAGGGTTTGGGGTAATCTGCTCGCCAACGAGGTGCCAAGTGTGAGAAAGCCTGTGGGTCTGAGACAGCTCACCGATGGACTTCAAGGCACCAGTGCACAATTGTTTCCTAGTTCTCATCTTCCTTTCCTGGACAGCCCAGTGAAATAAGGATTCTACAGAAAGAAGGGACCCAAGACACACTGTTTTTCTACCTTTGTTTCTGATGCCAGTTACGCGTTTTTCTGCCTCCAAAGGCAGAACTAGTGTGTGAAATAAACAGCTCTTGTGTGAAGGAAAGAAATTAATCCTTTTTCTCCAATAGGATGGGAAGACAGCAGAAGAGCTGGCTAAATCAGAACAGCATGAGCATGTAGCAGGTCTGCTTGCAAGGCTCCGAAAGGTGAGAAATTCTGTTTATCAGTCTGAAATTCTCTGCTTTACATGAAAAGGTCTGCCTTTCTCTTTGTAAAGAAGAAGATGAACAAAATGAGGCTTTGGACAAACAGCTTATTCAAAAGGTGTCTGTCTGCTTCCTGTGGTTTGCATGCAGTTAGTGTCAGTGCATCAGCTACCTATCACTTAGCTCTTCTGTGTTTGGACTTGGAAATCATTTGACCTCTTTGTAGTTGCTGTGCCTGGTTTTCCTCTTCCCACCCTCTCTGTAATAACCGTCCCCACAAAGTAGACAGGAAATGGGGAAGCTGAATGTTTCTTTCCTTCTTAATGTTTTGAACTCCCAGACATCACATGATATGCTCTGGTCCAGGAAACACTGTTGCTCTAAGGTTTAAGGACACAAGACAAAAGTATGTACGTGCAGGTGTGTCTTTCCAGCCCAGATTATAGCAATGCATATCAGGAGTCCTCAAAATTAGTCCTTTAAGATAGGAACTCCATGTCTAGGACTCTATCCCAAAGAAATGAAAGACATGCAGGAAAAAGTGTTTTATGCACACAGATTTCATTGCAGTGTTATATATAATAATAAAAATCGGAAACATCAGATGACCAACAGTAATGTCTAGTAAATTGTTATACACCTACATGGTAGAATGACCACTAAAATATTTTCGAAGAGGTTTTATTAACAAAAGTTCAGTGCTTAGGATGTTCCAGAGCTTCAAAGCAGAAGATAAATTATACATATGGACTTTATAATCCCTCCTTGTATTTTAAAAAATACATAGAAAATATTAACAGTGGTGTTTTGGTAATGAACATTTCCTTCTGTAAACATTACTGTATTTTTTCCAAATTCCTTATAATGCAGGTGACCTTGAATAATACAGATTTGAACGGTAGAAGTCTTACTCTATGCAAATTTTTTCAATAGATAGTACAGTGCTATAAATCTATTTTCTCTTATGATTTTCTTACTTACATTTCCTTTTCTTTAACTTACCTTTTTATAAGAATATAGTCCATGGTCCATATAAACCTACAAAATATGTGTCAATCACCTGTTTATGTTATCGGTAAGACTTCCGGTCAACAATAGACCATTAGTAGTTAATTTTGGGGGGTGGTCAAACAAAGGTATATCTGGATTTTCAACTGTGTGGGGGTTCAGCACTCCTAATCCCCGTGTTATTCAAGGGCCAACTGTAATCATGTAGTAATTTTTCAAAGACAAACTTTCTAGAAATTAAAAAAAAATTCAGTTGATTTAAATGTTCAGTGGCAAGGGATTGGGGCATCCCACAGATGTCCTGCATATAAACTGGAAAGTGAGGGGGCATCTGGTGGCTCAGTCAATTAAGCAACCGACTCCTGGTTTTGGCTCACTCGGTTCATGGGATTGAGCCCCGCATCGGGCTCTGTGCTGGCAGCTTGGAGCCTGCTTGGGATTCTCTCTCTCCCTCTCTCTGCCCCTTCCCCACTCTCTCTTATAATAAATAAATCTACATTTTAAAAAAATATATTGGAAAGGGTCCTGGGAAGGATGATCACCTCTTAACTCCAAAACTACTGAGAATCTGAATTTTCATAGTGGTCTCAGGGTCCTGGCTGTGGGGTGGGGGAGGGGACACGGGTGCAGTAATTTCCTTCCCAGCCTTGGAGTGGAGCTGGGAGATCATTTATCTTCACACCTTTGTGCGTTGGAGTTTGTGAGCTGGCCACAAAGGCGGTGGGAAGAGGACCCATGAAAACAGATGTCCCAGGCCACTACAGGGATGCAGTGTACCCTTCCTTCTGGAAATTCCAGAAAGAGAACAGTCTGGAAAAATGTCCCTAGCCTTACTCAGGTGTTCTTTTTTTTAATCTTAAAAAAAAATTTTTTTGGGGGGGGGTGCCTGGGTGGCTCAGTCGGTTAAGTGTCCGACTTCCCCTCAGGTCATGATCTTATGGTTTGTGGGTTCGAGCCCTGTGTCAGGCTCTGTGCTGACAGCTCAGAGCCTGGAGCCTGTTTCAGATTCTGTGTCTCCCTCTCTCTCTGACCCTCCCCTGCTCATGCTGCCTCTCTCTCTCAGAAATAAATTAAACATTAAAAAACATTTGTTTTGTTTATTTTTTTATTTTGAGAGAGAGAATGCAAGCAGGGCAGGGGCAGGCTCCTCATGGTCAGCACAGAGCCCAGTGCAGTGCTTGAACTCATGAATCGTGAGATCATGACCTGAGCTGAAATCAAGAGTCGTACACCCAACTGACTGAGCCACCCAGGCATCCCTAGCCTTACTTGCACATTCTTACAGGAAATGCATGAGTTAAAGGTAGACATCATTTTCTCCCACTCTGCACTGCCGTGCACTGTCTCACTGTGGAGGAGAATTTGGACTAGAAAAACAAGGGAAAGTGTTTTGTTTACAAGCAGAAAGAGAGGCGGTGGAGTCTGGGAGTCCCTATCAGCATATCAACAAGGAAGTTGCCCATAGTCTCCTAATTTCTAAATTCACTTAATGTGAAACCGTATGTCAGCCAGCACATGAAAGAATGGAACAGTCTGCAACACAATGGGCCAGATTGGCTCAGTGTTTGCAACCTCTGACATCGGGTGGACGTTATAGCAAGGCACCCTGCCTCTGAGTGTTTATACGTAACATGTCACAAGAGAAGTGTGGTTGTAAGTCGATTACTCATTATAGTATCTGTTGACAGCAAAAAGAACCTGGTCTGAAATCTGGCCTTCCCACTCGCTTGATGAGGACGCAGTTTTACTGTGAATTATTAGCTCTCTCTAACAGTCCACTGGTGGAGAGGAAGATTTCATTAGACTGGACACCTTACACGTGGATAAACGTGCTGGATCAGGGATTCTCAGGCCTCCCACGGTCCACAGAGGAGGGTTCTGACCTGTGCCAGGCGCCACCACTTGTATCTGAGCCCCTGTGTTGTCCTGCCACATATAGTGGGCTTAGCGGTCACGGTGGGCTGTGTTCCTCACAATGAAGCCTCAGGCACATCTTCTTTCTTGGCTTGGAGTGCTGCTCACCATCTCAGAGATGTCTCACGGACCCTGTGAAGGTGCAGACACTCATCTTTAAGCAGAAATCCATGGCAGACCGTGGATTGCCCACCAGACCCACCATCTGGTGGGTCACCCGGGAGATGCACTCCTGGGGCTGTGTCATGTTTAACACACAGGAAAGGTCTGTCCTTTTATTTTAAAGTGGACGGCCATGCTGGGCGCAAAGCCATTGTCATTGCAATGACGGGTCTGAAACAATGAGGAAAGCCCAGACCGAAGTACATAAAGGGCAGGCTCTCTAGTGACAGCAGAGAGGGACCAGACTGGGGTGCTTAAAGGTGCTTTCTCCCTTAATCTGATCCCAGATTTCCTGCCATGTGCTTATGTTTCTTTTATGATTGGAAATGCAAATACAGAGAAAGTTGCATGGCCCTCCCGCCAGCCCTGTGTGTCCAGGGGAGGCAGCGGGAGGTCCTCCAGTCTAGATTCTTTAAATCAAGGTAGGTGGGCTCTGCAACCTTCCTGCTTTCAGATTTCCTTAATTCTTTCCCACCAGTTGGCACCCTTGTGTTTTGGTGCCTAGCTTTTTAAAAGATGGATGGGAGAGAGAATATTTCAGTGTCTAGTTTTTTTTTACCATCTAAGGTAAAGGGATTTTTCTCTAAGGAAAGGTCAGGGCAAAAAAAGAAATTTTAATACCTGTGATCTAAGGACATCATCCCTGCTAGTGCCCAGAGTCCACAGAAAGCTTCCTCTCTCTTCTTTGCTTCAAGAGGAAAAATATAAGGTGATGGCTGGATGCACAGACTCAGGACTAGATGGCCTGGGTTCACATCCTAGCACTGCTGTTTTCTGGCTCGGGAAACATAAGGCTGCTTAGCAGCTCTGAGCCTCAGTTTCCCATTTGTCAAATGGGGTAACTGTAGAGCTACCTCACAGTATGGTAATGATGTAAATGTTGTCTTTAGAACAGTGTCTGCACACAGTAAGAAACCACTCTCTGAGTCCCGGGGAAACATAGAGATTTCCCTGCGGTGGCCCCTCCTGTGACCTGGCGCCCAGGAGCAGACATGGCAGTGTCAACAAGACAAGCAGGCCCCTAGGCAGGGCACCCTTGAGCACCAGCACTATAGCAGCCATCATTAATCGTCCATGTGTGGCAGGGGCTGTGATTTCACAACATCCCAAAGATGGAGACATTCCCGCCCAAAAATGGGGCTCAGTGAGGCTAAGCAAATGTTCATCAGTGCAGCTCCGAGTCAGTCCTAAAATACCAACGTCTGCTTCCTGGTCAGTGGGCTTGGGGCTTCAGTGCCGGTGCCTCACCAGCCGTGGGGTGGGGGTCTTTCCCCATGCTGAGCTCACGTGCTGTGTGGTGAGCCCCAATCTCTTCCAGGAGTCACCAGGGCCTGCTCCCTTCAGCGGAGTCTCCTGGACTCCGTGTTCACTGGGACCCGCGAGTTTGTATGCTGCAGTCATTCCCCCAGAAGGCTCTAGACCTCAGCTTCCTGATGAGCCAGAAAGGGAGGAGTTGGCTGCCATGTATTTCTACCACACTCATTATTTTAATGAATAAGTCCCCAAATAAGTAACTGCTTGGAGTTTGGGGACACCTGGTCCTGGAACCTGGTTCTTGAAAGTGGTTGAGGCGTCACAGGAGCGACCCTGGAGAGTGCGTCAGCAAGGACTTGTGTGGTAGGTTGTCACGAGGAGCAGGCGATACTTACAGAGAAGCCAAGACAGTAGATATATTTGCAGTTATAAGTCGGGTCATTTAGAGGAGGAACCTGATCACACCAGTAACCACAGATTAGGAGCATCTGTCACCAGTTTCCCTTCCATGTCATTTCTTCTTGACATTCCCAGTGTTTCTCACCAGAGTGCAGTGGGCATTTTGGGGTGGGTGGGACTTCGTTTGTCCTTGCAAGATAAGAGGACCCCCACGCAGCTCAAGTCATCTTGCCCCTTCCTCATTCATTGGAAATCAAAAGCTG